AGACCATTTCGAAAGCATATTTACATTTTACCCTACTAGAATGGATGCCGGAAAGTTATCATATTCATAAGTGCAACAAGTCATTTGCATGTGTAAGTAGAAACGTGCAATTCAGACGAAACTTCTGGGCTGATTTTATTTGTGCACTTGATTTTTTTTGTGGGAGCTTGTCACAATATCAAAACTGACCGCCACAAATAGTCTTCAGAAAAGCTTTGATGTCATTTTCATTTCGTCTTTCCTGTAATGCCTGATAAAGTAGCGTTTGTGAGCGTGGCGCTTAATTGATTACAGCCGTTACGGGGGAAACCGCTATATCTCCCGCTCCAACAGTGCCTCCTGCTGGCTGCAAGTCTGGGAAGCACTGGGGAAAAAAGAAAAGAAAATCGGCCAAAAAAATCGGCATCATATATCGGCCATCGGCTGCCCTGATTTCTAAATATCGGCATCGGCATCAGCCAGAGAAAAACCCATATCGGTCGACCTCTACTTTGTATTCAAGTTGGTTACATATGGTTTTGAAAAACTAACTAATTTAATGACATATTACATTAAAAAAAATTTAATTTAAAATTAAAAATTATAACATTGTCCTTACATCTTGAATAAATGTAAGTGTACACATCTTAATCCTTATTTTCCAAAATGTTTATTTATTTATTTTTTTAGTTGATCCACAGGACATTGAATGTTGTGTGGTGTTATGAGGTCATCTGCATGATATAATTTATTGTTGGCTGATTTAGCAGACAGACGTTTTTCAAATATTTATAAGCAGTTTTTTTATATTTTTGTAAGAAATAATACAGATATTTAAAGTTTTAAATTAAATTTCATCCTTTTAGTGAGCCCTTGTTCTTTGATATAAGAACAGAAATAAATTTGAGTTCAGAATTTTAAAAACATGGTCGGCGTCGATAGCCTTGTGACCAGTGCGCCGACATATAACTTGGCGTCCCGAGTTCGAATCCCGGCTCATGGACCGATCCCGCCCCCCTCTCTCTCACCCACTTCGCTTCCTGTCACTGCTATACTGTCCTATCAAAATAAAATGTGAAAACGCCAAAAATAAATCTATTAAAGAAATTTAAAAACATGTTAATCACAGAAGAGGTATATTTAAGTCAAAGTGTGTATAGCATTTATGTATTTTTATTATGACTAGTGCTGTCAAACGATTAATCGCGATTAATCGATCCAAAATAAAAGTTGTTGTTTACATAATATATGTGTGTGTACTGTGTTATATGTATTATGTATATATAAATACACACACATACAGTATATATTTTGAAAATATTTACATGTATATATTTATATAATTTGTTATATATAAATCTATTTAATATACAAATATAACGTATTTTTCTTAAATATATACATGCATGTGTGTGTATTTATATATGCATAATAAAAATACACAGTACACACATATATTATGTAAACAAAAACTTTTATTTTGGATGCGATTAATCGTTTGACAGCACTAATTATGATAGTCACGTCATTGATTCAGATAAACACTGCCTTAAGGTAAGTCACATTTACAGTTGTTCAGCTAATTTGAATTGGAATCTTTCTAATTGGTAATTTCGCGTGAGGGCGAAAGATTTTGTCACGCAGATTTTGCAGTGGGTTCAAGTTGGCCATGAACTGACCAACAGAAAACTGTTTGATTTAAAAGTGACTTCTGTGTGAGTGCTGCTTCATACCAGAGGTGGGAGTAAGTCACACATGTGCAAGTCACAAGTAAGTCTCAAGTCTTAACCTTCAAGTCTCAAGCAAGTCAAGTCAAGTCACTGCTTTTGTCAAGCAATTTAAGTCAAGTCGTAGCTTGAGTCAAGCAAGTCATACAAATGTTTGATGATTTCACTGAATTTATATATTAAAATAATTTAAAACTACAGTAGTTATAGACTATGGGAGTTTTATTTGCAACAAAAAAAATTGCAATATGCATTTCTACTCAAAAAGTGTTGTTAATACAATAAAAATCTAAAATAAATAAATAAATAAAAATTAAAACTACATAGCCTAAGATGTAAATGTAACTAAAATTAGTCTTAACATAAAAGCATGAAAAGTATTTAGGCACAGCTGTTTCAATGTGCCTCAAATATTGAAGAAACCCATGAAAAAGTATTAAACAACTCAAGTAAAATGGTTTCTATGCCACCAAATGGCATTCTTCAAACAGGCATCACCTTTATGGGACATGAACACATCCTTAAGTTAGATCCTTCCTTTTTAACAAAAGAATAACAACAACAAGAAAAAATATTAATAATTGAATCACACAAACCTTGCACCTGTTTATAATGTACATTATTAATCTGTGTGAGTGTGTGTGTGAGAGAGAGAGAGAGAGAGACATTTTTGAGTGAGTGTGATTTATTAATATTTGTGAGTGAATGTGTGTACACGTGTATGAGTGTGCATGGTTGTGCTTGCAAGTTTGAGGGGTTTTTTTGTTTTGTTTTGTTTGTTTGTGTGCAATAAAACTGTTTTCACTGGTGTATTTTTCTGTTTCTGTTGTAAGACAACAGGATGAATATGAAATCGAGACCGAAACGCGGCCCATTAAGACTACCAGCTCTCCGTTAGATGTTAATCTGCACAAAAATCCAGATTTATAATCAAGCCGTCGTCTGAGGTGTCAGCTGCGTCGCCAAATCTATTGACAAAGTCGCTAAGTTGGCAACACTGTGCACAATCTGCTTGCCTGCTGCGTCACTTGGTTAGGTTGCAGTGCGTTCAAAAACAAACACATTTATTGAACGAAAGACAAGTTATTTCGAGTCATTTAACTAATTAATTAAGTTCGAGTCAAGTCTCAAGTCATGAATATCAAGTCAAAGTCGTCTTTTATGAATATTTGTCAAGCAAGTCTCAAGTCCTAAAATTTGCGACTTAAGTCTGACTCGAGTCCCCCACCTCTGCTTCATACATAGCTAGTATTAGCTACACTATTGATAATGGACTTTTTTTTCCTACGATCATTTCGCCAATTTGACCTCACCTTTATTCTCTTTCTGACTTCCATACTGTAAACAGGGTCCCTCTCAATACTTGTTCCTGTTTCTCTTCATGTAGAACAACTTCACAGCTCTCCTGCAGCTGCTGCCAGTGCTGGTGCTCATTCTGATATCTGTATTCACTCAGCTGATGGCAACCAACCCTCCCTACAGCCTCTTCTACAAACCGTAAGTCAACCGTGGCACATGGTTTTAAACATCCTTCGAAGAAAAGACCTGACATATACTCTCTCTCACAGGTCCATGGGGTTGGTGGTGTCCAGAGAAACCCAGCACATGGGTGTGCCATACTATGTGGAAAAGAGTTTTGAGAAAGAATACAGCGGTGCTGCTCTGGACGAGCTGGAGAAGACTATTGAGAATGACTATATTGACCACCTACAGAGCAGCTGCTGGAAAGAGAAGCAACAGAGTATGATGCCTTCTCATCCATTAGGTTATGACTTTGTAAAATAAAGTCCTGTATTACTAAAGCTGTTGTTTCGTTTCAGAATCTGATCTAGCTAATCTGGGCCAGCTGTACCGAGATGAGCGGCTGAAGCAGAAGGCAGAGACCATGAAGCTGGATCACTGTGAAAAGCTGAACCGCTTCATGGCCCGACAGAGAGGAGACTGAGGCAGCGTCGCCCTCCTAGACAGCATGGTCAGCCTAATCAAAGAGCTTTTAGAATTGGTTATATATTTCAATTTACTCGGGTGGGTCACCTTTTTGGGAAGGAGAAAGGAAGAGATGTGTTAAAGCAGGAGCCCAAGCTGATTTTCTCATGAGCATTTGTGCCTTTCATCCCTGAATGGGATGAAGTCTGAGGGCCTTTAGCTCATCTGATTCAGCTGCTATGCACAACTGTGGGTAATTCGTGCGAGCGCCTGGTATTTTTTTCCTTACATTAAGGAGCACCGACTCCAGGCTGGCCGACAGGATTAAAGCTAGTGATTGTTGTTTATTAGTCGCATTTAAGCTTTATTGTTAATAGGAATTTAACTTATTCAATAACATATTTAATTTCTGAATTTGTGCTGTGAATTACATTCGACAACAACTTTTAATAGAAAACGACTTTTTTGTTTTTGGAAACAAACGGTTCTCAAAAACAGGGATATAAACCACTACAGCTTTTCAAAGCTCTCTGGACGTCGCATGAAAAAAAACCCTTATGTACATTAAATTAGTTTTTCGGTCCTTTGTTACAGTGGTGTATGTTTTCGGACATTAAAAGGTATTGGGCAACTGTTTTTAAGCAAGGTAAAAATTCAGTGCACTGACAGAAAAGCTAAATGCCATTACCTCTGAATTATTAATTAATCTGCCGTATTTGATTTATATTTTGGCACTTTGTCTTAACTTCTCGTGTATTGCATGCATCCATCCATGCATTCTCCCCGCCTTGTTAGTGTTCGAAGTTGTTACTGGCACAGTTTAATATCAGTGATTATAACTAGGCAAATAACCGCTACTGAGCATCTGTTTTAAACTACAATTAATGTTTTACCTCTTGTCGCTGAACACTATGTTCTATATATAATAACATACTGATCTTTAGCACAAATTTGAGCCTGAGGGATGTTTAGAAGTGCAACAGGAGGCGTCCGCTCATTCGGGATGAAATCGAGGAAGAGTGTCGGGTGAGACGTGGCGAGTTTGTGCCGGTGGTGGTATTGTGATCTTGTTTCCACGCAGTATGCTGAAAGTGGAAGTTTTGTTTGGATTGAGTGCGTTTTTGTGCTGCTTAAATAAAACATTACATCAAACACGGTTTCTCTGTGGTCTGTGAAGTTGTATGCTGAATTCACTAATTGACAAAAAAAAATTGTCAGGAAGAGGTGCCAATTAAAGTAAATGGTGACCAAAGAATTTCAATAAATAATGACTTTGACTCAGCATAAACATTTTTTAGATTATTGATCTTATTTCTTTCATTTCGATTTTTTTTTTATCTCGTAATTTTTAATAAAAAAATGTCACTGCTTGATCAAACTCCTTCGATCTTATCCTCCACATAAATCCAGCCATTTTCTTTACTACAATCTCGTATTCACATCTGTCTCCATCCAGTCTACAACCAATGGATCCCGTCCTACATTTTGTTTTTGATAATCCGTTACAGTTATTATATTGTCATTACACTGTTCCCCACACCAATCTACCATAAGGCTCCAGAAGACTTTGAATATACTACACAAGTCATATGGTCTCTTTTTATGATGCTTTTTTATTTTATTTTATTTTTTTTTTAGAGCTTGAAAGTCCTTGGTCCTCATCCGTTACATGGAAGAAAGCAGTGTGAACATTATTTAAAACCTCTCTAAGTAAAAAAAAAAAAAAGTAATTTAGTTTGGAAGGACACAAGAATACAGCATTATGGCAGAGTGAAAAGAGGGTCAAATATCAGTAACATTGTTCCCACATAAGAAGGCATATCCATTTAAATTTTTTGTCCTTTCGTCAGGTTTATTCCCGGTCGTTTGTCAATACCTGTAAAGGCACTATTCGTACACAAAACATAGCTTTAATACTACACAACACACCTCACAAAATTACATACACACAGACACATACATGCACAGATTTTGAGGCAGTCCCATCGTTGTCCGATCCCCAATACCATGATCCAGTGATTCCCTCATGAACTTTTCTGTTTAAGCGTGTTGGCGATATGGTTCAGACAGATTGTGCTATGCTGTCAGCACTCACTTACTAGCGTTTCAAAGGAACCCACTACTGGCCGCTCATTTCTTCATCTTCAGGTCTGCTTCTATAGCGCAGCGTCGCCCCCTTGTGCCCCCGTCCTGCAGAGAGGGAAGGAGTCATGGTTGTCAAGGTCACTTTAAAGCAAGTAATTTTCCCCCCTATTTTTGCAGCAGCTTTTCCAGATCACTTTTAAATATATGTGAGACTGAACATAAAATCTGACAATTATGGTATGTAAAAAATTGCTAGTAACCTCCAGTAAACAAAAAGGTGATTTCTCAAAAAAGCAACTGGCTCTAACTTCACCCCAAAATGAAAATTCTTCATCTGTTCAACATGTTGATGTTGGTAACCAAAAGTTGCTGGTAGCCATTGACTTCCATACTATTTTTTTTTTCCGACTATGGAAGTCAGTGGTTACCAGCAACTGTTTGGTTACCAACATTCTTCAAAATATCTGTAAAAACAGTGCTGATAAGTGGTAGAAAAAGCAGACAGGATACTTACAAAGAGAGAGAGAAGGAATGCAGGAGAGGCCATGGGAACACAGTCCTGTATGAGGACAAAGGTCAGCGTCAGAGGGATAAAGGAGTCTCAAATACACACTCAAATGCAAAAGTGGTTTAAAGGTGGATGTTGCATTGAAACAGACAAGAACAGAAAGATAGGGTGAATATGGTTTCATAAATGTTTGTAAAACTTAACTCAGTTGGACTGACCAGATTTAGACATCTATTGTGATGTCTTTCATATCACTTTCTTCCCACATTATTGAATAATTTAAACTCAAATCAGTATTTCATGTCAATTGTTTATTAAATGTATACATGTGCAATACCATTCAAAAGTTTGGTGTCAGTATTGCTTTAAGAAACCAATATTTTTATTAATCAAGGACATGATAGATTAATAAAAACATTTATATTGTTTCAAAGGATTCAAAGAAATACTGTTCTTCTGAACTTTTTATTCATTGAAAAATCTTAACAAAAATGTATCATGGTTTGCGCAAAAATATTAAGCAGCACAACTGTTTTATAATAAATAATAAATATTATTAGTAGTAAATATTAAATCATATGAAATGTTTCTTGAGCACCAAATCAGCATATTAAAATGATTTCTTAAGGATCATGTGACACTTGTCATCATGTGAAAATACAGCGTGGCATCACAGAAATAAAATTACATTTTAAAATATATTCAAATAGAAAACAGTTATTTTTAATTTAAATATTTCACAATATTATTGTTTTATATATGTATATCAGACACATAGATAGAGTAGTGTGATAAGATTACATTTATCTGAATTATAGCTTTTCATAGCGTCTGTGCAGAGTCTCTCTACTAATAGTGAAGCTGCGAGTTTAATTACTTCAAAAACAGTGATGTTACTCCTGTATATGTGTGTGTGTGTGTGTGTGTGTG